TATAGGACTCACCGTAAAACTCTCCAGAAGCTTTCTCTGAGGTCTATACTACAATTGTACCAAATATGGTGTCGATCCGAGGTCTGGTTTGAATTTGACAGAAATATTCTAGGTTGTTGTTGATGTGATTTTTTTTTTTTTTTTTAAGAAGGGGGGGGGGGAGGTTAATTATTTATTTTATGCCTCTTTTAAACTAAGAATTGTAACTACTTCCACATCCTTAAGCCTGATTGTGACCTTGGGTCAAGGTCAAAGGTCAAGGTCATTAAAAAAAAGAAGAAGAGAGAAATCTTTACTTTTCTATGATTTTACCTGATACTGGAGCTGAATGCATGTCCTTACTTTTCCATTTGACCCAAGGTCAAGGTGAAAGGTCAAGGTCAAAGTTCAAGGTCATTTGGTAAATTGCCATATTTTACACATACATAAGGAATTTCTAATGTTTTTAAATGACCTTGACCTTTGACCTTAACCTATATTTCAAGGTCAAAGGTCGAACATGCCCATGACGTTAATCCCATGCCTCTAGGATACACCGTTTTAAAAAAAAGTTCATTAAATGTAAGCAGCGTAAACTTTCAGGGGCAGTAACTCACACAAGGGACCAAAGAATGCTTTCGCAATGATAGAATAAAGAGAGTACTAAATGAGTCGAAGACACTGATGAAGGTTTGGAATCTATACAGTTTACGGTTTCGGAGGAGTAGCGATAACAAGGTTTTGTTGCAAAAGGGGTGACAACTTTTGAATGGGTCAAGCTCGGGGGACAAGAATGAAATCTTTGAAATGGTTTTAGAAGGACATATTACAGATGCAAAGATATTCAGTATATGTTGAAAGACAAAAGAGATATTAAAAAAGCTAATTTTCTCATATTTTGAATGACCTTGACCTTTGACCTCTATATAAATTTCAAGGTCAAAGGTCACACATGCCAATGCTATTGGTCCCATGTCTCTACGATTAAGCGTTTAGAAAAAAATTAATTATTCGTAACCATCAAAAACTTTCAGGGGCAATAACTAATTAAAGGGGTTTATGCAACCTTTCGCACTGAATAGATTGAAGAGTCTACTAAATTAGTCAAATACATTAGTGAAGGTTTCGTATCTCTACGGTTTAGGGTTTCGAAGGAGTAGCGATAACAAGCTTTTATTGCGAAAGGGGTTGTAACTCCTTGAGGGGTCAAAGGTCATATACGCAGGGTCAACTGTAAAAATCTTTTACGAAGTGCATTCTTATGGACCATAAAATCTTTTCGATAACTTTTAAAACAAAAAACCATTCGGCGGAAAAATAATAATAATAATAATAAACAGAACAATTTCAATAGGTCTTTCCACAGAAAGGTGGAAAGACCTAATAAACAGAACAACTTCAATAGGTCTTTCCACAGAAAGGTGGAAAGACCTAATTCTGTGTACTGATCATATCACATGAAACTCTTGTAACTTATCATTTCATAAATTCCTGTATTTTGATTGCCTAGAGAAAATAAAGAATCTTTAGACTCTCACATTCACCCAATAAAAATAAAACTGTAAGATATACACTTCACATCTCAAATAAAATACAATGACTGCATTTCAGAGGAAGGATCTCAAGTTTAAAAGGCAAAAAAATTAAAAGTTGTGAATTAATTTTCATGTTCACTCAGCACTGAGGAATGGTATGTAATTTAATATACTTTGCTAAAATCAGCACACTTTTCTGATAATAAATGCAAACATTCCACATCAAAAAGCCAAATAAACAATGCAAGATTTGCATCTCTTAACAGTTAGATAGCAGATGGTTAGTCTTTCAAAGTAAACACCAGGCCACGTTCCCACCTTCATGTTTAGAGAGGGACACTCTTACATGAGCCCTCTCACCACAGCTAGAGAATTATTAGATGAGCTTGCTGACTTATGTTCATCAAAAGAAAATTGATGAGCTTGTCTTTACAATGTGTGATAATGTAGGGTCATTTGATCTATAACTGATAAGGCTATATGGACCACCAGCTAAGTAACCACTGCTGCTTCAAGATTGTCCATGCTGAATGACCAAGGACAGAGGGTCAGTGTAAAAACATGGAAGAAAACAAGATGAAGACAGTTTCAGCCAGAAAACCACACCACCAAGTGGTCACAGAAAATTGCTTTCAGAGTAAACAAGGCAAATTTTTGAGTAAACACCATAGGAAGTTTATAGCTTTACATAGGGCCCAATCACTTATGGTGCGTTCCCTCATTACTGCTATCCATCACTTATTGTCAGACAATAATTGTTTAACCTCCTCTCAGTTTCAAGGAGAATACAATCTCCACATCCCCTCAGTTTATGCAATGCTTTTTTTTTGCCTTTCTCTTGGATACTAAAAGTCATTTCAAGTTCACAAACTAAAATTAGCATCATCCTGTTTTAAATTGCTCTTGAAACAGCTGCAGAACAGTCAATGCAAACAAGGGTCTCATTTACTGTGAAATCCTGGAAGAGTTTTTATCTTGCAACTCAAATGAGTCGGCAAAGATTTTTAAATGCAAAATTTTTTTAATATGATGCACTTCAGCAACTGAAACATGAGAATGTCCTATCATATACTCATTGGCTTTATATTTAAAATTACAAAAAGTTTCTGAAAAAAAAATCAGAAACTGAACAGCCATATAAAACATTGAGAAAGAAAGCTAAATATGTCATTGAGTCAAAATTTTACCTGTGTTTGAGGACACAAATATCCCCCATTCATCTCTTTTCCTAACCCCCCCCCCCCTTTTCATCCCCTTTCTCCAAACATAAAGAACTATTTCATATGACAGAAATTGTAAATTGTGAGGTACTAGCAAAAATCATATCTGAACTTCTTCAACTGAGCCAGAAAGTTTTATTAAATGGGGAAAACTGAGTACAGATGAATGGCATAATTACTAGTGCTATACTGAGCAGCCAATTTTCACAGGCAAAGGAAAATCAATAGGATCAACACTGTGTAGGGTCAAATTGACATATACACTGTAGCAAACACCTTACAAGAGAGAGAGGGGGGGGGGGGGGGGGATTACCTTGGATGAGACATTTTAATGGCTATAATGAAGTGAATATTAATGCATCACGTATTGAGGCTAAGACTAGATGTCATTTTGCATTTTAAGTATCCATACTATTCATTGGTCACTTATTCCTAAAAGGATGTCTTGATAAATTTTTGTAAATGTGTTGCATGTAAATTCAATTTGTATCAATCAAATTAAGTTACAAGTGCTTTTTGTTTTTGCCTTTGTTAGTTCGTCAAGCTAACACCTTGAAAAATGACACCAAAATGTTGTAACCCTGCCAACATCTATGTATATGGAAACACTATCTCCTACTATAATAAACTACCCCAAACCAGTTCTTTAATATACACCACCAAAATTGCTCACTGTGGCCAAAAAAATTAAATAGCAATAAACTCAGAACTGGCAGGGTAATGGAGTGAAATAATTGCACCATTTAAATGTGTCCCTCTATTGTGATCTGCATAATAAGTATATATTGATTCTGGAACTTTTGTTTTTCACCTTTCAGCTGCAGCCTTGTTTACAGTAACCATCTGTGTTAGAATTCGGAGCTATCTAATATCTTCAGCTTCCATTGATTGGGCTCTTTTGCAGAAACTAGGTCACTGTAACAGATAGATTTTTTCCCCCATTGATCTGTTTCCACTTTTATTGCTTGTTAACGGAATCAGCCTCAGAAGCCACTCACTGATAAACACGACAAAATTAATGGTAAGATAACCACGCAAGCATGCAAGTATCAAAAAAAGTCCTGTAAATCATGCGTAAATGGGTTCAGTTTCTATAAAAAATTTTAAATTTATTTGTACACCTTGTTGGCACAGGTGAAGGTGGCCTCTTTCAGATCATACCTCAAATTGTACATTCTGGTCAGATGATCTGAAAATGGTCATAAAATGTATGCCTTTGTTAAAAACAAACCCAAATCTTACAGTGACAAGAACTTTATCAGTATGACTTTTGTGAAGGATTCACTCTTTACAAGTTTTCTATTAAAGAGCAAGATCATGTATGCTCTGTGTGCATTTGCATCATACAAGAGGGTGCATGGAAGAAAATATATATAATCTGTATATCTCAATACTATGACACTAATTTCAATGCAACCCCTCAAAAGAAACAAGATTAACCTGATACCCTTCTTTCTGTATTCTTCGGTCCTGAAGGTCTTTAATCTTCATACTGCCAGTATATTGTAAACAAAAACAGCAACTGATACCACTATCTAACAAAGGAGAGAACTTGAAATGTTCTTGTTCACAACAAAACCAAAGGGAAGGAATCTTTCTTCAGTCTTATCAAAGCATGTACAGAATTCTCTCTTATTCAGGGCCAGTATGAAATGCATGTTGACACTAGAGTTAAGCCATGAAGGGTAATATGTTGAGGAATTAGATCTATTGAAGTTATTCCTTGAAGCTATAAGCCTTATATCTGATATTTACTTGCACTCTGTGATAGTCCTGACCAAATGTTTTCCAAACAATTTTGTTGTAGCATAAACAAGATGCAGACTCCTGAAGCACCACTAATTCCCTAACCTTATTTTTAGAAAGATAAGGATATAATTAGTTTTTCTGAAGCTTCAAACATTTGTTTATTTGCATCAGTTTCATTTAGTAGATAAACTAGTCATTTTTCAAAAGGATCTCCCAATGATAAGCTGATGTTAAACCTTATCAAAATAATTTGTTCTGCAGTTGTTCAATCTATGCAGAAACCTAACTTTTTCCTTTGCTTTAAGAAACCAATATAGAATTTTAATGCAAACCATCTAGATACTGCATATTCTTGCTTATGATATATCACATTATGTTATATCCTTCCTCTTGTTTTAAACACTGCAGATATGAAGCTGTTTCCTGGTTTTGACCATATGTCCATCTCTGAAATCAGACAGAAAAAAATGCCTGGGGGGATATGCAGCCTGAGGAAAAGCCATGTTTCCAAAATTACCTGCATAATCAGCAGGACCTTTGTCTCCATAATGTTGATCAGCTGAGATGAATGGATTTCCAATAAGGCCTCATTTTGTTGGTCTGTGGACAAAGCTGGACAGGTTTTGTTCATCTTCTGACCAATTCATGTCCTATAAAAATCAATACCTGTAATTTAATAATCTGATGGCTTAATTCTCTCTCTCTCTCCTCTCTCTCTCTCTCAATGCAGTCAACTGATCAGAGCATGCTGGTAGCAAAAGGACAAGCTAAATTAAAGCAATTATCTAGATGAGGCATATAGAAGTGTGGGAGTAAACATGGCAACAACAGCTTTCAGAAGTACAAGTATCACTATAGGGGCTGAAATGATGTAAACAAAGCACCAATCTTCCCCTCCCTCCTTTGTATCTTAACCAATGGGAAGGACCTTTACATCTACACATCATGGAATATTGGTCAATGAATTCACATATATAAATGACTCTTCCACACAATTAAGCCCTGTTTTTGTTATTCTACATAAATCAATGGGAAATCTACTAATGTAAACATGGGGAATGTTTATGCTTATTGTTGTTTACCTTTGACAACCAAGAACTGGGTCGCTAAAATTGCCTCAACTTTGATAAATGTCCCAGCTACCATTATCATGTTCATGGGATATATTTAACTTCAGTGTTGCACAGAATGTTCATTTCTCTTTGCATGTAAATAAACACTTTTCTTAGTGTTTCAATCCCCCTTTTAAATGATCAAATTTGAATTGACTTTAGCATACAAAAACATTTTAATCAACATTAACTATTGTCCCTTAAAATGGTTAAAATGGAGAAACTATGAAATATATTCAAACTCTACTACTAGAATTTGCAAAATTAAGTTAATTCCAGAATTAAGTTCAACAGTATATATTAATAGAATTGTTGTGTTTCAGAAAAGATGGAGCAGCCAGTTACTTGTAAATTTTCTACACCTGCAATATATTAAAAAAATATGAAGGTCAGTCCCCGAGACACTATGTTAGCTAGTTGTTAACAGCTGAAAACTTTAAGAGATAGATCCACTTTTCACCTTTGGTTTTGTTAACCTTTTGTGTTAACCTTTTGTGTGTGTGTGTGTGCCCGTGTAGTTTTTTTTTTTTCTTGATATATATTTAAACTAGAAATATGTCCATAGGACATGAATGCCCCGCCGAGGGTATATTAGTAATGCAACATTTTAACACAAATTGAGAAAAGTGAGGTCAAGGTCAAAGGAAAGGTCAAGGTGAAAAAATATTGATGCAGTTGAATAGCTTACATCAGTATGTATCAGCATATGAAGTTTGACACTAATTTAAGAAAAGTGAGGTCAAGGTCAAAGGAAAGGTCAAGGTCAAAAAATGTAAATGCAGTTGAAAAGGTTACATCAGTATGTATTAGCATATGAAGTTTGATAAAAATATTATGAATGGTTTCTTTAAAACTGAGCTAAACACTAATTTAGAAAAGTGAGGTCAAGGTCAAAGGAAAGGTCAAGGTAAAAAATATTGATGCAGTTGAATAGCTCTCATCAGTATGTATCAGCATATACAGTTTGTTAAAATATCTTGAATAGTTTCATTAAAACTGAGCTAAACACTAATTCAAGAAAAGTGAGGTCAAGGTCAAAAAGGTCAAGGTCAAAAAATGTTGATGCAGTTGAATAGCTTACATCAGTATGCATCAACATATGAAGTTTGATAACACTGTCTTGAATGGTATCTTTAAAACTGAGCTAAAACTTATTTAAGAAAAGTGAGGTCAAGGTCAAAGGAAAGGTAAAGGTAAAAAATGTTGATGCAGTTGCATAGCTCTCATCAGTATGTATCAGCATATGAAGTTTGTTAAAAATATCTTGAATGGTATCTTTAAAACTGAGCTAAACACTAATTTAAGAAAAGTGAGGTCAAGGTCAAAAGAAAGGTCAAGGTCAAAAAACTTTGATTCAGTTGAATAGCTTACATCAGTATGCATCAACATATGAAGTTTGATTACACTATCTTGAATGGTATCTTTAAAACTGAGCTAAAACTTATTTAAGAAAAGTGAGGTCAAGGTCAAAGGAAAGGTCAAGGTAAAAAATGTTGATGCAGTTGAATAGCTCTCATCAGTATGTACCAGCATATGAAGTTTGTTAAAAATATCTTGAATGGTATCTTTAAAACTGAGCTAAACACTAATTTAAGAAAAGTGAGGTCAAGGTCAAAGGAAAGGTCAAGGTCAAAAAATATTGATGCAGTTGAAAAGCTTACATCAGTATGCATCAACATATGAAGTTTGATTACACTATCTTGAATGGTATCTTTAAAACTGAGCTAAACACTAATTTAAGAAAAGTGAGGTCAAGGTCAAAGGAAAGGTCAAGGTCAAAAAATGTTGATGCAGTTGCATAGCTCTCATCAATATCTATCAGCATATGAAGTTTGATAAAAATATCTTGGATAGTTTCTTTGAAACTGAGCTTTGAACAGAGCTAAACGCAAAGTGTGACGGAAGGACAGACGGAAGGACAGAAGGACGGAAGGACGGAAGACGGACATGACAAACACTATATGCCCCGGCCATATTCATGGCGGGGCATAAAAAAAATTCTGACAGCCACTTACTACAACTATTCCTTAATTACACTTCACCGCGTTTTTCTTATTTCACTATAGATACAGCTTATGTGCTCCTCACAACAAATAGCTTAGAATTAGTAACCATGCAAAGACTTTTTCTTAACCTACTATTAACAGTGTAAGTACAAGTACTTTTAATTAATGCTCCAGATCATTACTATTTGGGCGGCTTAGAACTGATAAACACACCTTAAATCACTAACTCAAAATGACCAATAGATTTTCAACTTGCTGACCCAACTAGGTAAACCTATATGTATATATACAGTTAAAATGCTCTCTGGGTCACAGCCTGTTTGGTTATTTACGTGTTCTAAACACACACATACACATACGTCAAAGGAATTTACTTCTTAAAAATTTTGGCGTAAACAAGAAATGTCACACAATAAGTGAATAGTTGGTCATGGGTATTGTGTACATAGAAAACTTCAGCCTATTTAATTCTTATATAATCTTAGCTATAACTAATAAATTTTCAATCTGCTTGACTCTTTTCAATGGTGCATTCTTGCATACATGCAAACAAAGAAATATATAAAACAGTCTTGCAGTGTGGCACCAGCAAGAAGATAAGAGAATATGTACATTATAACAGGTTGTTTGCATACTTAAATTTACATAGCTACCAAAAAACAAATATCAAATCATTCCTAGTAATTTAATAAATTTCCAAGAAAACATTCAAAGATAGCTCTGCTGGAATTCCAAACTCTTCAGTCAATGGTAGGCGGAGACAACTGTAAAGAGTTCTTAGTTTGCACATTTTCTTTTTCTGTGAAAAAAAATTCTACCCAGCAACAAAATTAAAAACAAATTAAAAGATCTTTTAAAAATAAATTTGTAGCTCGTTAAGTGCATTCTTGTTACTGTACACTTTAATTCACTTCTGATACACCGTTGACATTCTTTTTAAGACTGAACTTGAACGAAACAATTTCCAAGTCCCTTAAAATATATGATTGCCTTTGAAATTGATACACGATTTGTGCTTTTCAAATGATTTTGTAGTGCACCAATTTATACCTATAAAAATTAATTTTGTACAACTGTGAGCATATCTATAGCATTCACTTGTGACTTCACACCTTGTGTGTGCAGTTCTGCTACGTCAAGGAGAGGTGCTTTAAAATTAGAAATCCAGGTAAATCAAATCTTATCTGCAATTACCTCTGCAAACAAAACCACACTACAACTGACGAAGCCAATTGTGTATTCTTACACCTAGTCAATCCACTAATTCACTTAAGCTATTCAGATTTAGGGGCTTTCTTGTCAGAAATCTTTTCATGCATTTGCTAATGAAACATGAATTGTTGTTTATGTAACATAGAAAATATTATTTGTGTATCTTTCATATCAAACTAATGTATTTAGCAACTGTATATATAAGGGTCTAAATCCTCTGCCATTTTAATATTTTGATTAAACATTAGAAGTTTAGTTTGGTAAAACAAAATTTTACACAAAAATCAATCAAACCAAGAATGTGTGCATTTGAGAGAGAGAGAGAGAGAGAGAGAGAGAGAGAGAGAGAGAGAGAGAGAGGAGAGAGAGAGAGAGAGAGAGAGAAAAGAAAGCCTAATAATATATTGCTGACATTTGCATTTTTTAAAACACACCCTTCAAGTGTGAGCATGCCAAGATAAACATTAGTCTTCCCCTATAGTTTTCTTTCACCTCAGACTGATTCGGCTTGGTCTCCACCTATTGTTTTAGAAACCTTGTGAGCTATCAAGGCACTTTTAATTCTTTCAGTATGAAAGAGAGCAGCATTTAAATACCTAGCAAATCTGCAAAATTCGCCTACATACAAACATAATGGAGCTGGCCATAAAAACCAGAACAGGCCAATACAAATTTATAAAGGCTGTGTAGCCTCCATGTTCCATCAGACATGTGTTTGAAGTTTATTTGATAAAAATCTTGGCCCCTGAATATGTAAACCCATAGAACAAATGTTCACCTTATGTCCGTGACCCTTGTTGCATGAGATGGAGCCAAATTTTCTTAATTGACGTTGCCTTTAATCCCAACTATAACTTTGAGTAAGGATATTTTGCTTAAAACAAATACTTCCTTTCTTGGGCTCTCAGAGGAAATGCTTTACTTAATCTCTTTAAAACAGTCATATATTTAGAATTTGATTCTTTTGTCCTGCCAATAGAAATATTTTTAGTCATGTGTTGCTCCAAAGATCCATCGTAAAAACAACCAACCAAATCAGTTGTATCTCATTAGACATCAAAGTGGTTTAATTATTCTTACTGATAAGAGGACAAGGGTTAACTTCAGTAAAGTTCAATAGTGCCTTTAGCCATGTCACAAGATTTTCACATATATCACAAGGACTTTTAAATCTAATCCAACCCAAGAAAAACTTTAATTTTGGAGGTGTTGACGTCTCCCTTGAAATTTTATCAGTTAAAATTGTGCTGCGTCAACACAAAATGTGACAGGGTCAAGATGGGAATTGATAACCTCTTGTTACAAATTAACTGCCAATTG